TCTGCTTTGCCTTTGCTACCTCCCTCTTTGCTCTACACTGCATCTCATATTCCTGTCTCCTCTCTTTAGTTCTCTCACTGTCATATTTCTTCTTGACTAACCTCTTTCTTAGAATAGCATCCTGCATTTCACTATTCCACCACCAGGTTTCCTTATCATCCATTCTCTGTCCAGATGACGCACCAAGTACCTTCCTATCTGTCTCTCTAATTACTGTTGCTATTGTAGCCCAGTCATTTGAAAGCTCTTTCTACCACCCAGAGCCTTTAATAGCTCCTCTCTGAATTTCTCACAACATTCTTCCTTCTTCAGCTTCCACCATTTGGTCTTCTTCTCTGATTTTACTTTTTCTCTTCTTTACAACAACAGTCATTCTACACACAACCATCCGATGCTGTCTGGCCACGTTCTCCCCTGCCACAACCTTACGGTCTCTAATATCCCTCAGGTTTTCTCTTCTACACAGAATATAGTCAACCTGTATACTCCTTCCTCCACTCTTATAGATCACTCTGTGTTCCTCCATCTTTTGGAAACAAGTGTTGACTACAGCCATTTCCATTCCCTTGGCTAAATCTACCACCATCTGTCCTCCCTGGTTTCTTTCCTTGACACCAAGCCTACCCATCACTTCCTCATCCCCTCTGTTTCCTTCACCAACATGTCCATTCAGGTCTGCTCTGATCACCACTCTCTCCAACCTGGAAATACTCTCTATTACTTCATCAAGATCTTTCCAAAATGTATATTTCTCTTCCACTTCACATCCAACCTGTAGAGCAACCATTGACAATGTTTAGCATCAGACTTCTACTTCTACCTTCAGACACATCAGCCTATCTGACACTCTTTTTTTTACCTCTATTACATTCTTTGTCAATTCCTCCTCCAGGACCACCCCTACTACATTTCTCTTTCCACACCATGTAAAATATTTTGAACCCTGATCCAATGCCGCAAGCCTTGCTGCCCTTCCACTTGGTCCCTTGAACACATAAAAACATCTACCTTCCTTCTCTGCATCATGCCAGCCAGCTCTCTACCTTTGCCCGTCATTGTCATTGGGGCGGCTGTGACTGAGTGGTTAGAGCAGTCGTCCTCCAATGCGAGAGTTGGGGGTTCGAATCCACCAGCAGTCACATGTCAAAGTGTCCTTAGGCAAGACACTGAACCCCTCATAGCCTCTGATGTGTGTCCCATCAGTGTATGAATGTGATCTAAAGCACTGATTAGTCTCTTTAGAATGATTTGTTCAATTAGCTTTGTAGTGATCTAGTAGAGTGCTGTATGAATGGGTAAATGAGGACACAGATTGTAGTGTAAAGCGCTTGGAGTGTCTTGAAATAAGATAGAAAGGCGCTATATAAGTACAGTCCATTTACCATTTACCATTGTACCCACATTTAGGGTTGCAATCCTCAGTCCTACATTCTTGACTTTCCTCTTCTCCCACTTTCTCCTGACACGATTCCCTCCTCATGGTCTTCGACTAACAATTTCCACACAATTTCCAAGGCACCCTGTTTGTCCACAGCACCAGTGGCAGTTGTTAACACGGTACTTGACCGATCCAGCATCTCGATCATGTGGTTTAGATAAAGTTGCATATTAGTTTTGGCAAAAGTGTTTTATGTCAGATGCCCTTCCTGACACAACCCTCACCATTTACCTGGGCTTGGGACCAGCACAAGCAGTGACGTGCAGTCAGGGGAGGCAGGTGAGGCTGTGTCATCATAACAAGTAAAATATTACTGACAATGATAAGAGAAAATACATTTGACCACTTGACTGTTCTACAAATATGTTTCAAAAATTTGTTTTCTGAATTATTTCAACACTTCAATGGTCAAAATAGCAGAATTTTGCATTTCCTGTTTAAAAATGCTGGGTGAGGCAGTGTAGTGCTCTGGTTCACCTCTGGGGGCGCTGTGTCATATACAATATATGAAGTCAGTGGTTGGAGCATGTCCATTGCTGTCTCTCTTTATGTTGCCAATATACATGTTTGATTATACATGCGCTGCACATGTTGGTGTTCTACAGTCTGTCTAATATATTGAATGAATGGGTGTGATATATTTCTGCTTTCTAATCAGTCATAATGCACGCCGAAAAACACGAGAGGTGCAGCAGAATATACCTTGCCACACCGATAGGGGGCAGTGCTGCCCCATAAGGACAATGAAGCAGGTGCAGTCATAGACATATGTCTGTGGGTGCAGTCTCTGTGTGTTCTTCTGTTACACCGAGGTGCAGCAGAGGTGAAGCAAATGGTACACTCATTTAATTTTGTTTAGACAAAATGGAAGATCATATCTCAAAACTAAAGGATTTTTAAATTGGATGAGTCATACACATAAAACAAATGGATTAAAACACAATAAAATACATTAATCATGAAGGCAATGCTGTTTTTGACACAGCCAGAGTTTAGTCTGTTTTTTTAAACATATTGAATCTGGTCGCAAACTTTAAATTGACAGAGTGAGTCCCAAACTGTGGATCCTCTCGCAGAGGTTAATGGTTTGGGTGCAAGTCCATTAAGCATGTGAAGATCAATAAAAAAATAATAATTTATAAAATTGGAAAATTCTAGAATATCAAACTTAGCTAAATATTACAATGATAAAATCTGATTGGCTTTTGGTATAAAACCTTCAAGGCCTGATTGTAGAGACTTTCCAATGGTTTAAGTATAGTTTGGTGAGTCTGTGACCAGACAGTCGCTCACTCAGTCGGTCAAGAATCAGACTCAGAATAAGCTTTATTATCATTTCACCGAGATACAACGAGAACATACCATACCATTTTATTTATAGAGCACTTAAAACAGCGACAAGACCAACCAAAGTGCTGTACAGACAGAACAACAGGTAACACACAAAGCAATATACAAAATGAAGTAAATCAGAATATAGACAAAAAAACAATGCAGATAATGACGACAAACCAGTGTGGAGCATACAGGATCAAAACACAGATCATCTGGTGTTGAATTCTACTGAATAGTAGTGGGTTTTTAAACGGGACTTAAAAACCGAGAGGGAGGGACCTGTCTGACAAGCAGAGGCAACTCGTTCCAAAGTCTTGGTCCTGCTACAGAGTCATGTACATGCAGTCGTCCGGAAGATGGGCCGAGTGCACGAAGCTGCTACTGAACTAAGCATGGCCTTTCTTATCTTTATCAGATTAATAATCTTAGATAGGAAAAGGGGAAGAACCATGAGGGTAGATTCTCATGAATTGCCTCCCCCTTACGGTTTAGCTTGTAAACCAGATGATTCAGAGTTCCTACAGCAAGAACCAAACCTTCACACTGACTCGGAAGCTTTGCCATGGCTGAAATTGCTGCTGATGTCTTCTGCAAAAGTTGATAAAACAGAGCCCCGCTGATGCCAAAAAGCAGAGTCCCTGTAATCATGAATCCAAATATGTAAACGTCTTCAACATCCTCCTGAGGCAGGACTGAGAGGCACATCAGCTGCCACACTCCCCACGGGTCCATGATGTGACCCACAGCGTGCATCTCAGCTGGACACGCAGGCTCTCCAGGACCTTGTCGTTTTGTTGAAAAAATCTTATAAATAGAGTTGAACGCCCACGATACCAAATCCATAATCTTAATTTACTTTTGGGAGATGTGAACCAGGTACTTCAGACACACAGAAAGCAGAGCAGGAGGAAGGAAAAACGGGGAAGGAAAGACAGAAGCAGCCACCTCAATCAAAGCCAGGGAGGGGAAAAAAAAGAATCACAGAGTTGAAGAACATCTCTGCACAATGAAGTGTCAAACATTTTCTAATAATTTTAAAACAATTTATATTGAAATATACTGTAAGTTTCTATTTTGGGTTCATAGATGTGAGCATCTGATTCCAGATAGTCAGTGCTTTACCTGTCACAAAGCTCACCGCTCGTCACTGGGCATGAGAGAGATACACTGGCTTGCACTCCCTTGTGGCTGTTCTCTGTTTTTAATGGTCACTAAAGCAAACCACTGACTCATACACTCATAATGTCAGATCTTTTCACTTCATGCTTATACTGTCCTGACAGTTAAAAAGACTTGACGCTTTACATTGGACAGTTAAATCTTGTCAATGGTTTTGATGGCCAGAAGGTTGTGGTCGTTTACCATTGGGGTGGCAGTAGTGTTCTCTGGCCCTGTGTGAAGCATGGTGGCAGTGTATCCATTATGCCCCCCCACCCACACACACACACACACACACACAGTGTGACACAGGACTGGCTCCACTGACCTCATATCTAGGCTACGACCATAAATGTGACAAAGTTAAGTGACAACTTAACACAAATTTGTTATCTATAGCTGCATTCTGAATAGATACACATTTCTGACAATGAGAGTAAATAGAGCATAGTGAGGGCACAGAGACACAGAGATGCAGCAAATAACAGAAATAAACTATTTGATGAGTATCATGAGTATATTAATGTCATTACTGCATTCAAACTTAAAAAGATTTTCCAACTTTGTAGTGATCCAGCCACAATCTGATAGGTCATGTAGATTGTGGAGAGTATAGCAAGGTATTCATCATGTGGGAGACTAAAGCATATAATTATGTTTCATTCATTCAACCTTTATTTAAACAGGTTAGTCCCATTGAGACTTGGGGTGCTCATTTACGAGAGACTTGACTTTAACAAAGAATGATGACAACAGTAGACAACAAAGACAACAGTAGGCAATCATCAAAGAAAGCATATACCATACCATACCATTTTATTTATAGAGAACTTAAAACAGCGACAAGGCCAACCAAAGTGCTGTAAATTGAGATAAATAAATGAAAGAAAATGGTATGAAAACAAAACAAAAACAGCTAGACTGTAAAGTTAAAGTATGTAATTAGTTGAAAGGAATTAGCAAATGATTTCCCTTGTACCATCTGCTTTGAATAACCTGTTATACATCATAATGTTTGTTTCTGTCTCCTGAGTTTGTTTCATTTTCTTCCTTCTGCCTTATGGCTCAGAGACACAGTCTTCCCCCTGTGACGACTCACAACATGCTGGACGACTCCACAGATCCCATCCTGTCCAATGTCAGACGCATCGGCCTCTTCAACTCAAGAAACGATCGAGTCAAGGTGGGCCAGACATCCTCTATATTTACTTGCTATTGTAGCATTTGGCTGATTTATTAACTAAGAAAGTATCAGTTGGTTAAATAGAAATAACAACTATAGTAATTGTAGAGTGTGTTCCAACTACAAGGGGATCACACTCTTGAGCCTCCCTGGTAAAGTCTATTCAGGGGTTCTGGAAAGGAGAGTCCGTCGAATAGTCGAACCTCAGATTCAGGAGGAGCAGTGCGGTTTTCGTCCTGGTCGTGGAACACTGGACCATCTCTTCACCCTCAGCAGGGTTCTGGAGGGTGCGTAGGAGTTTGCCCAACCAGTCTACATGTGCTTTGTGGACTTGGAGAAGGCGTTCGACTGCGTCCCTTGGGGAACCCTGTAGGAGGTACTCCGGGAGTATGGAGCACCAGGCCCTTTGATATGGGCTGTTAGGTCCCTGTATGACCAGTGTCATAGCTTGGTCCGCATTGCTGGCAATAAATCAGGCTCGTTTCCGGTGAGAGTTGGACTCCGCCAAGGTTGCCCTTTGTCACCAATTTTGTTTATAACTTTTATGGACAGAAGTTCTAGGCACAGCCAAGGTGTTGAGGGAATCAGTTTTAGTGACCTTAGAATCGTGTCTCTGCTTTTTGCAGATGATGTGGTCCTATTGGCTTCAGGTCATAATCTACAACTTTCACTGGAGCAGTTCGCAGCAGAGTGTGATGTGGCCAGGATGAGGATCAGTTTCTCTAAATCTGAGGCCATGGTCTTAAGCCGGAAAAGGGTAGAGTGCCCTCTCCGGGTCGGGGAGGAGGTCCTGCCCCAAGTGGAAGCATTCAAGTATCTTGGAGTCTTGTTCACAAATGAGGGAAAAATTGAGCGTGAGGTCGATAAGCGGATAGGTGCAGCATCTGCAGTGAAGCGGGCACTGTACAGGTCTGTCGTGGTGAAGAGAGAGCTGAGTCAAAAGGCGAAGCTCTCAATTTACCGATCGATCTACGTTCCTACCCTCATCTATGGTCATGAGCTTTGGGTTGTGACCGAAAGAAGGAGATCTCGGATACAAGCGGACGAAATGAGTTTTCTCCACAGGGTGTCTGGGCTCTCCCTTAGAGACAGGGTGAGAAGCTCGATCATCCGGGAGGGACTCAGAGTAGAGCCGTTGCTTCTCCACGTCGAGAGGAGCCAGTTGAGGTGGCTTGGGCATCTGGTTAGGTTGCCTTCTGGATGCCTCCCTGGTGAGGTGTTTTGGACACGTCCCACCGGGAGGAGACCCAAACACAGAGCTGCAGTAAAACCTGCTGATTCCAACAGTGGAGATATGTTTAAATCCATTTGGAGTAGATAGAGCAGACCAGAACAGAAAACTGAGGAGAAAAAAAACAGGACATTTTTGTCATCATGGTAGGATCTTATTTAAGCACTTCTGTGGTGATTGTGTGTGGCTGTGATAGTTCAATGGTTAAATCAGATGTCTTGTAATCAGAAGTCTGTGGGCTTGATCCGTACTTGTAACGTGTATGAATTGGTGATGATGTATCTTATCATCTTTTCCCTTTAATATTACGTTTTCTTCCCTGTTTCTTTAATTATTTTATTTTTATTATTACACCTTTATCTAACCAGATAAAAACCCATTGAGATCAAGACCTCTTTCACAAGGGTGACCTGGCCAAGAACAGGCAACAGCAGCACACATCATAAAAAACAAAACAAGTAGCAAGATTATGAAGACTTCAGAAATATATAAAAATATAAAACATACAGTATAACAGTAAATGGCAATAATTATTTAAAACAATGACAATTTAAGATCTAAAACACAGGCACTGTTGACAAGATATCATTTGTCGTTTTTTTTAAAGTTTGCAAAAAGCACTCAAAGTAACAAGTTCTGTCAGTTTTAATTCAGCTTGCAAGGCATTCCAAGCTGAGGGGGCAGAAAAGCTAAAAGCTTTCTTGCCCTTTTCTGTTCGCACATGAGGAACATGAAGATGCAAACAGTCCTTAGAGCGTATTGCATAACTACTGTCCATTCTTTGTATAAAAGTACATAAATAATGTGGAAGAATGCCAATAAGAGACTTATAAACCAAAGTCATCCAATGCACATGTCGCCTGTTAAACAGGGAAGACATATTGGTTTTAAGATAGAGATCACAGTGATGAGTAAGGTAGCTAAAACCAGTAATAAATCTTAATGCACAGTGGTACACTGGATTCAATGACTGTAGACAACTGCTTGAAGCACACATATAAACATCGCTATAGTCAAGTACTGGGAAAAAAGTAGCTGTGATCAAAAGCTTCCTTGCTCTAAGGGAGAAACATGATTTGTTTCTAAAGAAGAACAAGAGCTTCATCCTTAATTTGGAGATTAGGTGTTTCACTTGAGATTTAAAAGAAAGCTCCGAGTCGATAATTAAGCACAGGTATTTATAACAGGAGGCCCTCTCGAGAACTTTACCTTGGGAAGTTTTTATTAGAGGGATATTCTCCAATGGGACAGATACATTTGAAAAAAACCAACAACATTATTTTAGATTTATCAGCATTTAAGACCAATTTTAGTTGCTCAAGACGAATCTGCACCTCATCAAAAGCAGCCTGTAAGAATTTAAGTGCCTGATCAATTACTGAAATTTCATCAAGGATTGGCTCTGAGCCCCTTCTTCAAGGATTCAAGGATTTAAGGTTTTTAGTTGTCATTCACACCCCATGTGGTACATGTGGTGGAACGAAATTATGTACACAGGGTCCCAGTTACATCCAACAATAAAATGGAAAATAGAAACAGCAATAAGATCTAAGGTATGAACCAAGAAAAACATCAACTAAATATACACTAAGCACTAGCAGCAAAAAAACATAAAAACATTATGCCGAACAGCATCACGAACATGAGTCTGTGTGAGCAGATGAGCACGTATGAACACAGCAACATGAAACAGATCAGCAGCAACATGAAACAGATCAGCAGCAACATGAAACAGATCAGCAGCAACATGATGTGATTTTTTTTCACAATTTTTTTCTTTTTTTCTTGTTTGCTCTGGTGATGGACCGACTAACAGATGAGGTCAGGCAGGAATCCCTGTGGACTATGATGTTTGCAGATGACATTGTGATCTGTGGTGAGAACAGGGAACAGGTGAAAGAGAACTTGGAGAGGTGGAGGTATGCACTTGAAAGAAGAGGAATGAAAGTCAGCCGTAGTAAGACAGAGTCCATGTGTGTGAATGAGAGGGAGGAGGTGGAACAGTGAGGCTACAGTGAGCAGAGGTCACAAAGGTGCAGGACTTCAAGTACTTGGGGTCCACTGTCCAGGAACATGGGGAGTGTGGTAAAGAGGTGAAGAAGAGAGTTCAGGCAGGATGGAGTGGATGGAGAAAAGTTTCAGGAGTGATTTTTTTATTTTTATTTTTTTTATTCATTTCATTTAATTTCCAATAAAAACACAAATACAATTTCAAAAAATTAAAGAAAAACAAATATAAAATGAAAGGAAGCAGAAGAAGAAAATGTCTTATCATATCTGCTCCCTCATAAACAAAATCAATTCAAACCATCAATTTAAACATAAACCTTCATATATAATACATCAAAATACATAACTCATCAACATTTCATACTTAACAAAATAGATATTAATCAGTTATATATATTGTTCCAACAAAACAGTTTTTATCTTTTTCTTAAATATAAACATTGACTTCACCATTTTAGCATCATCTTCCAAACCATTCCACAGACTCATTCCCTGTATAGTAGTAGACCGAGCCTTTAAACTGGTTCTATACTGGGTTTAACAAAAATACCTATGCCCTTCAAATTATAACAACTCTTCCTTTTTACAAAATATGTTTGAATGTTTGATGGTAGCATGCAATTCTGAGCTTTAAACATGAATTAAAAAATATTATAATCCACCAAATCATAAATCTTAAGTATTTTCAATTGACAAAACAGAACATTAGAAGGGTGACAACACGTTTTTGTTATAATTTTTACTGCTCTTTTTTGCAGAATAAAAATAGGCTTTGTTATGGTTTTATATGCCGTACCCCAAACAGTGACACAGTAAATTAAATGCGGGACTACAAGTGTATTATATAGCAAATATAAAGCATCATTGTTTAATAAGTCCCTTACTCTGTATAATACTGCATTTGACTTAGATATTTTAATTTTTACAAGATTTATATGCTGTTTCCATGACAGTTTATCGTCAATAATTACACCCAGAAACTTTACTTCATTCACTCTACATATCTCAGTACCATCAATTTTGAGAGAAAAATCCAAAGTTATCTTTTTTTTACTAAATATCATAAAATTAGTTTTATCAACATTTAATGATAACTTATTTAATTTAAACCAATCTTGTATTTTAACAATCTCTTTGTTTATCAATTCAAACATGTTAGGAGTGCGCGGGGAACCCAGATGATATGAGACCCAGAACGAGGCAGACACAAGGGGAATACAAAATAACAGTGTTTATTATTTACAGTGAGTTTAAATCACATCCACTGGCTGCTGGTCTGAGGCTCCTGGAAAGAGGGACGACAGGTTAATGGCTGTCCAACGGGGAAGGCTCAAGTTGATTGTTAAGGAGTGTGTTTGTCCTTACAGTCCAACCCGAAGGGAGAGCTGGTCCTTCAGTCCAAGGCGAGCGAGCAGCAGAGGGGAATCCAACAGAGTCCAAAGGGGAACGAGGAAGGCTGGCACTGGAGGCAAAGAGGCACGAGGAATACCTGAGAGGCCTAGGATCCAAATCAGGTCACGAGGGAAATCCAAAGAGCACGAGGAACCAGGAAACTGGAAAAAAGAGCAAAAGGTGAACAAATTCTTTTCACCAAGACATTTGCCTCACAACAGTACAATACCATAAGAGGTGATATGCTCCAGCGTTGAATCACACCGGACTGCAGCCTTAAGTAGATGGAGAGGCTCATCAGGCTGATGGCCGCCAGGTGTTGGTAATCAGCGGCCATCAGCAAGGCAGGCTGCAGGCAGTGGGATCC